ACAAGTATGGGTTAATCCCTTAGGTCCTTATGCTCCTCTGCCATTAAAAGGAAAATGCATACCATACATAAGGCTTGTAGAGTTACATATTAAGAATATTATAGAAATTAATGGGCCTTGCGTGGTAGCTAGGTACCTTGAATGCACAAGGATCTCATATGGCCATTGGTTCGTGTCCAGGAGACCCCACTTCTCTTCCAGCTCCCTGCTTGAGGCCTGGGAAAGCAGTCAAGGATAGCCCAAAGCCTTGGGACCCTGCACCCACATGGGAGACCTGGAAGAAGCTCCTGGCTTCAGATCCGCTCAGCTCTGGCCTCTGTGGCCACCTGGGCAGTGAACAAGTAGATGCAAAATCTCTCTGTCTGTCTCTCCTCCTCTCTGTATTCCCACCTCTAATAAAAATAAACAAATCTTCTTTTTTTAAAAGATTTATTTTATTTATTGGAAAGGCGGATATACAGAGAGGAGGAGAGACAGAGAGGAAGATCTTCCGTCCGATGATTCACTACCCAAGTGAGCACAACGGCCAATGCTATGCTGATCCAAAGCCAGGAGCCTCTTCCAGGTCTTCCACGCGGGTGCAGAGTCCCAAAGCTTTGGGCCGTCCTCGACTGCTTTCCTGGGCCACAGGCAGGGAGCTGGATGGAAAGTGGAGCTGCCGGGATTAGAACTGGTGCCCATATGGGATCCCGGGCGTGCAAGGCAAGGACCTTAACCACTGCGCCATCGCACCGGGCCCAAAAATAAACAAATCTTCAAAAAACAAAAAATCAAAATTGATATAAAGTCATTTATTTAGGGAAGAAAAACTTTTACCAAGTAAATGTTGGGGGTTTTTTTCTTTTTTTCATTTTTACATTTTATTATTATTATTATCATTTTATGATACAGTTCCATAGGCTCCAGGCATTTCCCTTATCTCCTCCCCAATTCCCTCCCCCCTACCTAGTTCCTCTATATCATTACTAAAATATAGTTCTTCATACACAATCATATGTCCATCATTGCGGGCATGGACAATGGCAGAGAGTCCAGCATCCTATTGTCAAGATATAGTGAACAGTTCCATTGTAAGTCCATCTTTGTCTGGAAGTAGAAATGCATACTACATTGTATTCTCACATCTGGATAGGTTTCTAATTATCCCAAAGAAAACTGGGATGGTGGAGAGTCATCTGAAGAGAGGAGATGCAAACGGAAAGGAAACCAAGACTTGACACAAATCAATTAAAATACCTTCAATGCATATGCATGACTGGGGACTACACACAATGCGTAATTGAAGAATCAGTTTTGTCTTTTACTTTAAATATGTGTGTCTTGTAACCAACTACAACTTAAACACTAAACTCTATGGCACAAAAACACAAACCCGAGAATCAGAGAGAATCCTGTAGCAGTCCTCTAAATGTTTCTCTCCTGATAATTAACAGAAGACAGCAAGCTGACACCTCATCCAAATAGGACTAATGGCGCTGACATGGGTTTAAAAGTGCTGCAACAGAGGTCCACTCAATGTCTTGGCAGGTTCATCCGCTGCCTGCTGGTGCTGGCATCCCACATGGGTGCCAGTTCTACCATGGCCATTCCACTTCCAATCCAGCTCCCTGATGATGATCTGGGAAAGACACAAAGAACTGCTCCAGGCCCGGGCCCCTGCACCCACGTGGGAGACTGGGAAGAAGCTCCTGGCTCTTGGTTTTGGATCAATTCTGTTGCAGCCGTTGTGGCCATCTGAGGAGTGAACTAAAGGATAGAGGACCTCTCTCTCTCTCTGCAAATCTGCCTTTCAAATAAATTGTTTTAAATGCTATAATAGTAATTCATTAGCTTCCGAGCTGTTTGGAATACCTGCTATGTTTTGTTTTTCAGCTAAAGAAACTTAGCATCTAATTTTTGTCTCTTCTAATTAAAGGAAATGAAACATTTTTTTCTACATTTACAAATGTGAAATAATATGAAATGGGTGCATCCCCAATTTAACTGAACCAAGGCACTTACCAAATGCAGTTTATAATAAATCAAAAATATGAATTAAAGAAATGCGAGAATTTTTTATTTTATCATATTTGAAATTCTATTCACGAAATGAAGTGTTATAAAGAAGAACTGAATCACTATCCTCTGAAAGCAGAATAGTCTAATGATTTCCATACATACATTATTGTCAATTTCTAGGCTTGGATATAAAGAATGTGTAAGGGATGGACATCTGCTGGGCAATTAAATCCCCACTGAGACATGGACGGTTCCTCCAGAAGGCCTTTCCCCAGCCAGCTTCCTGCCCATGAGCACCTCGAGGAGAGCAGGTGACAGATCCGTGCTCGGCTGTCGCTAGGGGCCACCCAGATGGAGTCATGGGCTCCTCACTGCATCCTGCCCCAGCTCCGCCTATCGCTGCCATCTGGGGAGAAAACCACGGAATGGAAGATCTCCATTTCTGCCGTTAAAATAAAATCAAAACATATTTAAAATTTTTTTCATAAAGAAATATACAGAAAAGTTCAGAGACAAAGTCACATTCCTGATTGGTGATAGTTTAGAAATCTAAATAAAGTGCCACCAACCACAAAATAGCTGCTTTCTATTCAAAGACACTTAAGATGAGCTGGACTCTGCATTCGATTGCAGGAGCAGCAGTGAAGGAGTGACCTTGGCACACTGCTACTCCAGATGTCTCAAGTGTATTTCTTCACTGAAAGTGCCTCTACTTTTTGACAAATATTCACCTTACTACACTCTAACGACACAAGACTCTACTTGAAGCTTTTTCTGAAATTTCAGGACTACAGATATTATTCATAAGAAAGCTTAACAGCATGCAATATGCAATGTGTCAAGAACACACACCTTCCTTCCTCATGCAGTCCACAGGAAGGCTAAGATACCACTACTTCACAGGGTTCGGAGATGCATTTTCAGAGATTTTAAATTAGAAAATTCAAGAAAGTGTCAGCATTTCCCTTCCATCATTTCAATGAAAAGATCTTTAAGCAAATTTGTAGCACAGTAATATGTGCTCTGCAGATATATGCACAGATATACGCATCCGTCAATTCCCCTACCCTTAATTTAACACTTGTATTTTTTTCATTAAAATCTGGTTTCAGGTTTTTAAAAGTTCAAGCACTGATTAAGCTATACTTGGCTTTGGCACTAGCTCCCCCTCCAGACCAACCTACTAATATAACTGCATTTTAGAAAAATAACTAAGGAACACGAGTTTTCCAACCCACTAGTTTTAACTCACTACTTTTAAGGACACTTTAATTCCTTAAAAATAACACTACACAATATAATCAAAAAGATGTTTTTTCAACCCCATCCATCTTAAGTAGAACGGTCCTCTTAGGAACAACCTGAACTTTCCAAATTCAAGAATATCTTTAAAATACAAACGACAGAGCCATATTTTGCGGAGATAATTTTGAACCACTACTTTAGTGAATTGCAAACTAACCTCATGCTATGTCACCACCTGATCAAACATACACTTAGGCATCTGTTTCTGCAACCCATGCAGGCTTGATACCAGCCCTTCAGCTCTTCAAGCAGAATTCTCAATTCCTCAAACAGGGAAAGCACGATCCACGCCTTCACACCACCCCAGGAAGGTTCCTCCTGGCCTCTCCAGCTCCCCACCTTTTCACACACTAAGCCTGGCAAGGCGCAATTTCCAACACCTGACTTTCCACTTTCTCCTTACTGCTGCAGTATTTATAAATCAAGTAATCATGACTTTACGTAGACATGCCTCACATTTCACAAGTACATTAACGTAGAGGGCCTTACTATCTGCCATAAGGCTTTAGGTTGTTAAAGCTATCTCAAAGCAGGAAGACTACAAGCTACTGCACTATTTCAGCACAGTTCTCTAATACTTCAGTTATTTCTCTCCTAAAATGCTTTCTATACGACGCACCCTTTTAAAGAATGCTTCACAAACCATAAAAATCTAAACTTAATGAAGACAATGAATATGCAGAAAGCCCCTAGAATAACAATGAGATGGGGGGAAAAAAAGAACCCTGCCAACAGTTTATACAGAGCCAAGCCCAAGTTCAGCCAGTGAGTTTGGTAAGCGTAACTTTAAAAATCATACAGAACTTGTTTTGCACTGGTTGCCCGAAAACCTCGAGGTTGGGGTTACCCGCTGTAGAAGGTGGCTTTCCCCGGGTCACCTTCCTGACTTCAGTAAAGTACAATTCAAACACACGGAGGGGAACACACCTCCACCTGCCTCGACCCAAGGCCTCACGCTGAAGGACAAAACCTAAGAGCTCGTCGGGGACCCCTCCTAACCATAACACGGCCCTTCACTCACACGTCGTGCACCCGAAGCTCGCGAGCCCCACGGTGGGAGGGCAGGTGCTGCAGCCCACGACAAGCCTCGGAGAACTCATCCACAAGGGCTCCTTTAACCTTCCCAAGTTTAGAACCTCAGGAGGAGACAGCTCCTCATTTGCACATCAAAAGGGGGTCCCGAGGCTGCTCCGACCCCCCGCTGGGAGCCGACCTCGGGGGGGGGGGGGGCGAGTCCACTCCCGGATTGCTCGCCTCAGAAAACCCTCGACGCGGCGACACCCTCCTCCCCGCCAGCCGAGACTACAGGGACGGAGCTGCGGGCGGCAGGGAAGGTAGGTGCAGAGGGCTGCTGCTCGGGGACAGCTCCCACCCGCGCCTCCATCCCTTCTTCCCTCCTCGCCTTCCCCCCCCCGGGCGAGGATGCCACGGCCGAGGGCAAACGGGCGCGCCGCTCCGAGTCCCGGCTGGGGTGGCGGGCGCCCCTCACCCCCGAACCCGCGCCCCCCACCCCAGCCGGGAGCTGCCTCCCCACTTTTTCTGGATGAGTAGCAGCAGTTCCAGCAACAGGCCCGGGGGTCGCCCCGTGCCAGGAGCGGCGACCAGCCCCGGAGCCCGCTCAGATCCCGCGCTCGGCCATTCCGAGCCCCCCACCGAGGCGCGCGGGGCCCGGCTGCGCCGAACGCCGCCCCGCTTACCCGAGGCGGGAGCTGAGGCGGTCTCCGCCGTCGCCAGTCGCCACCACCCCGGGCGTCCGCCGCAGCCGCCCCGGGCCGGAGGACGGGGGTGGGGTGGGGTGGGAGGGGCGGCTGCGTGGAGGATGCTACTCCCGACCGAAAGGGGAGAGAGCTAGAAACGGAAACAGGAACCGCCGCGCCGCCGTTTAACGGAGCCTTGGGCGCCACTGACTGAGGGAGAGGAGCGCGAGGCGGCGCGAGCCGGGCAGTCGCTGACAGCGCGAGACCGAGCGCGAGCCGGGTCCAGGGCGCGCGACCCCGAGCCGCGCCGGCCCCATTCCGTGAGGAGACGGAGCGACGGGGCAGGCCGGCCGGCTCGGGGGACGGGGGGCCTAGAGGCTCGGGGAGCCCCCGGCGACTCGGGGTCAGCCGGAGATAACGCGCGCACGCGCCACGGCGGCTCTGACAGGCCGGGGGGAAGCTTCGGCCGGAGAGCGAGCGTGCGCGCGCGTGCGCGCACACGCACCAACGGGGGCGCGCGCCCCTCGGCGTCCCAGGCTTCTGGGAGAGGGCGCGCATGCGCCGGCCGCAGACCGCGACCCTGGCATGTGCCAGGGTTTCTCCCCGCCCCCTTCCTCGCCGCGCCGGTGGACAGCTTAGCCGCAGCATCCACAGCCAGGCAGGGCGGCGCGGCCCACCGGGGCACGGCAGGCTTCCAGACGGGCCGGCGGGCTGCGCGCGGCGCCGGCTCGCACATACAGACGGGCGTAGGCCGCCCTCTACCGCCTCCAGGCCGGCCGGAGGCTGCTGCGGGGGCGCGAGTCGAGCTCGGCTTCCCCCACTCGCCGTCTCCAGGCTCCGCCGTGTTCGCATGTAGGGCGCCGGGGGAACGATCGGGCCTCTGCCCCGGCTCGGGCCGCGGCCCCGAAGGAGCAGCCGCACTCCTGGCGGGAGGCAAGCCGGCGCTCTGCTACTTTGAAGGGGGGGTGGTCTCTGCAGCCCGCCTCGGCTGCAGCCGGCCGGCGCGACCCTAACGGGGGGCATCGCTCCCACGGCGACCCCGCCAAGCCCTGTGTTCGCTGGTGAGAGCTGAGTGGCCACAGCCTTCCTGAGACACACACACACACACACGCACACACACACACTCACACGGGCGCCCGAGTGCGATGCCCGGCCTCTCTCCCGACCCGTGGCTGCCACAGCCCCTCTCTCAGGCGGAAGTTTATTCAGTACGGGAAAGAGGACAGCGTGGGGGGGGAGGGAGGGAGAAGCTTTTCCCTAGGATGCTTCCTACCCGCTCGGACCCGGGAAATTCCTGGCGCCCGCGATGCAGAGCAGTGGGCCGAAGAGCTAGCTCAGGCCAGCCCAGGACCGCGCCAGCCTGAGCGGGGAGGACCTGAGCGCGCCGCCCCGGCACACAAAGTAGTCTCGGGCCGAGGGGGTGCCGCCGGAGCCAATCAGAGCCGCGAGCCGCGTGAGTGGAGTGCGAGCTGGCCAATCAGAGGGCCGGAAGATGAGCTTCCCGTCCCCAACTCTTCCCTGTAGCCTCGGGACTCGGATCCCACCAACCTTGGGGCGTAGTGCCGCCGACTGGCGAATTGGTGCCCTCGAGACAGGAGTTTTCCCTCTGGAATCGGGCGGGTTTTTTTTTATTTTTTTCTTTAAGTAAAAATGTCCTGGGTACTTATTCCACAATAATTGACGACGTTTTAGGTGCCAAGTATTAAGTGGCTCACAGGAAAGAGATTGAACAGGCAGTAGCCTGCCAAAACTGCAATCTACCTAATAACGTGCATAAATTCACGGTATATTTATTGAGGTGTTCTTATGGACCAGGAACCACAATTTTAGAGACACAGGATAGTGCTGATTCAAAGAATAAATTCCTCTGTCTCCAGGCAGCTTGGGTTCCTCCGAAGGAGGCTTTGGTGGACTTTGCCTTTATTATTGTCAGCTCTTTAAACAAACAAAAAACAGTTCATGGAGTACTCTACAGCCATATTAATGATCCTATCTCCCTGAAGAATAAAAAATAGAAAAATAGTATCCAATCCAAGATCAAACATCCAAAAAAAAAAATGGCACCGGCAGAGCCAGAATTGCCCTCTGGCTCATACAATTTGGGTTTTGTCGATCAATAAAATCATTCAAGAATCAGTGATTAAATTCTTAGTTGCTAGCTCCCATGAAATTTCTGTGCTCAGCTTAGAACAAGAGTCACACACTGTGGTTTTTGGAAATGAACAGAAATTGTAGGTTTATACCATAGTAAGACGAATGAAAGGCAAAATCTTGTTACTACATATAATTTTAGGAAGTTACAACTGGGACCTATTGACAGCGCCTTAAGCTACCGCATGTGACACTGGCTTCCCATTTAAGCTGCTTCTGATCCAGCTCCCAGCTAATGTCCTGGGAAAGCAGCAGAGGATGACCCAAGTGCTTGGACCCTGCCCCCACATGGGGAGACCCAGAGGGAGTTCCAGGCTCCAGGCTTCAACCTGGCCCAGCAGGGACTTTGGGGTCATTTCCAGCTTGAACCAACAGGTGGAAAATGTCTCTGTGTTTGCCTTTTTCTCTGCCTTTCAAATAAATAAATAAATCTTCAACAGGCAAATAAAAAGTTGAAGTGGGTATTTGCCTTTTAGCTTAAGTGCAGCTGTATTTTGCAACATTTTAACAAACATGTTAACTTTGACTTTCTTTTTTACGGAAAGACAAGAAGGTTTCTGGTTGGCTACATTGTTTAATACTTTAAGATCTCCAAGTTCAAAGCTTTACATTGTCTCCTAGCATCTGGTATTTTATCTGACCTTGTTTCCCAAAGCTTAGGATTTAAAATACTTCAAGTATTTATTTTGTTTTCTTCCCAAACCTGGCTCACCCCATCCCCACCCCCCAAAAAAAACTGACATAGGATTATTTGTCCAGGATTTATTGATTTTCATAGGACAGGATGACATACATTAAAATACCAAGGAACATTGGTATCTCTGGAGTACTCAGAAATCACTTTTTTGGCGATCTCTGCTCTGTAGTCCGTGCAATGGACCCGTTACCCCAGCCCTGTTTAGCACATGCCCAGGACTTAGCTGCCATCTCAGAGCTGAATGTGTCAGGTGAACCACTGACCTTACAAAACAAACCTTTACACATTAAGTTCCAATCTAGCCATCAACTTCCTTCACGTTCACTTTCTTGTTTTTTTTTTTTTCCTCATTTTCTTCTTGTTCACTTTCAATCAGGGTGCATACCCTGCCCCTTCTTGGAGCAGATGATAGTCCCAGCTTTTTAAAAATAGCTTCATCCTACTCGGCAAAGGGGAAAACAGAGACACATCCTTCCTCTTGCCAGGTTCAGTTTCGCACAGAGAAAACATCATAGCCAGAGGTGTTTATTCCACACCTCCACCTGGTGGGACCTCTCACTCACTTTCTCCTCTCACCCCAGAGGCTTGTCTTCACCTCTGTCACTCCCAAGTGCTTGTTTTACCACCTCTTCCTCGGGACAAGTTCTACCTGGCATCCAGAACATTCTTCTTTACCTCTTAACAGCATACATTATTTTCTTTGTACACAATGTGAGTCAAATTCCCAAGTCATCAAACAGAGCTGCAGGGACCACGGTGAGGGACCAAGAGGAATCAGCCCTTTGAAAATGGGAAAGACCTGGCCTGGCGGCGTGGCCTAGCGTCTAAAGTCCTAGCCTTGAACGCACTGGGACCCATATGGGCGCCGGTTCTAATCCTGGCAGCTCCACTTCCCTTCCAGCTCCCTGCTTGTGGCCTGGGAAAGCAGTCGAGGATGGCCCAAAGCTTTGGGACCCTGCACCCGTGTGGGAGACCTGGAGGAGGTTCCTGGATCCTGGCTTCGGATCAGCATAGCATAGGCCGTTGTGCTCACTTGGGGAGTGAATCATCAGACGGAAGATCTTCCTCTCTGTCTCTCCTCCTCTCTGTATATCCGCCTTTCCAATAAAATAAATAAATCTTTTAAAAAAAAAATGGAAAAGACCCAAATAAAAGATAAAAACCTTTTATAAGGAAAGGTAAAGTGAGGACCTGGAAAGGAAAGGTAAAGTGGCCATTTTATGGAGATCAGCTACATGAAAGTTAATTAACTTGAATGCTATCACACTTCCTAAGTCATGGCCATTCATGTAGAAACTATTTTAGTTTGAAACTTACTATCATTTTATTGTAACTGTAAAAACAAACAAACAAAGAAAAACTAGCCAAGGTGTACCATGCCTGGCTGCAAGGCCCCCTGCTACATTCTTTGCCTCCATCATATATTTCTCAGTTCAACCCTTTGAGTGGAGTCTGGTACACGGGAGAATTCATAGGATCCCGGAAAGGGGTTACAATTCTCAGGAGACTGAGTAGCACCTGTTTAGTAAATAGTTTAAAAATGTTTCACCAACATGCACCGACTAGCATGATCTCTGGAAACGTTTTCCATAACTGTATTAGGCTAGTTGCGTTCCAATTGTTGCTTCAGCTACGTAACTACAAATCGCTCAGCGTCCCATTTAGCAGCGACCATCCAAAGGGTCAAGCTGTACTAATATTGCCACAAAGAGATGTGACTTTGAGATCATCATTTTGCCTACTTTGGCATGTTTTCTCATCTGTAAAGAGGTTGGACTAGATAAATGTTAGTTGTTATCCAGTCCTAAAATTATAAATCAAGCCAGATTGACACATCATTAACAGTAAGTACAAAATTGAAGTATGGAAAAAGGTTCTATATTTCCGCTCTCAGTAAGTATTTTCAGTCCATTTTGTGCCAACTTTTAAATAGAAACTCTGCGTCCACTCATTAAATACTCAGAGTTAATCTTTGCTATCAGAAGGGTGGGCATAGTGATTGATTTAAAAGCTGATGAGGGGAAAGAGGCTGATGGAACTAGCCAGACTCCCTACAGATGACTGCCATCTATGGCTGAAATGTCTGCTGCCTTCTCCATTGGGTTAAAATTCTAGCCCGAAATAATCATAATTGATTGCTGTCTATATACTGTAAATGTTGCTCCAACAAGAATGAACCCTGCTGGGGCCCAGCACAGTGGCCTAGTGGTTAAAGTCCTCATCTTGAACATGTTGGGATCCTATATGAATGCTGGTTCTAATCCCGACAGCCCCACTTCCCATCCAGCTCCCTGCTTGTGGCCTGGGAAAGCAGTTGAGAACTGCCCAAAGCTTTGGGACCCTTCATCCGTGCTGGAGGCCTTGAGGAGGCTCCTGGTTCCTGGCTTCAGATCGGCATAGTTCCGGCCGTTGCAGTGTCTTGGGGAGTGAATCATTGGATG